AAAAATTTTCTCTAAGCAACACAAAATTACTATCATTAGGTAGATCTGACTGAGTAGAAAAATTTTTATGAAGGAAGTTTTGTAATTAAAAGTAGTTTTACTTACCAAAACTATCTGAAATGATGGAGAAAGAAGGGAGAAAGACGAGCGACGCCGCGAGCAGAACGAAGAATGAACGCGGAGAGAGAGAAGGAGAAGAGGAAAAAATGACGGGAGAAAGTAAAAAAAGTCACTCGGAGTAAATTAAAGTTAAAGACCCAAAATAAAACGGAAAAAATAACAATTGGGAACCCTCTTTTTTTTTAATATTTAAATTCGTGAAGTAAAATTTAAGATGTTACAACTTTCAACTGTAAATTCAGAATCCATATTATAAGTAAATATATGTGGGAATTATGCATATATTTTAATGTTTAATAATGCATGGTAGAGTGACAAGAAGAGCAAACCGAGACAATATAATCTTGCCTGTGCTCCATAGAAACATGCATCTTTTGAGCCTTCCAGCCATGACGGATCTCTTTGACGGATCCCATGAATAAATATCCAACTTGCAATTAATTTTAAAAAGCCCATGGAACACACACACATAGTTGAAATGTTAATCTCTCACCTTATTACTCCAAGGAGTTTTTGATGCTTGGTCATTATCCGATCCTTTCAACGAAGAGTTGATGGTTTTTCTTATTAATAATGATTATATGTTAGTAAGATTTTTATTAGATTCATTATCATTGTTGTTTATCAAGTTAACAATAGTAAACGAAATTAGGGAGAGATTAAGATTAAAAAAAGTGGTGTAGGAGTTCAATTATAGAAGTAAGAATAAAAACTTGAGGAAAGAAAAGGAAAAGGGTTGTGTAGAGATAAGATATATGGGGATGTGCAGAGATGATGATTAAAAAACAAAGCTATGTATTTGTGAACGGGATAACTTTTTTTTTTAGTGACATTTACTTTTATTTTAATAATAATTAAGGAAGTAATTAATATTACTGATATGTGAAGTATTGAATTTCTGTAAATAGAAGACTTAAAAGAAAATAAAAAGTACATTTACTAAGAAATGAGGGAAGTGTTACTCTTAGGAAGATAAATATGCTAGAAACACTCACGCAAGTATCTCACTTGAGTAATTTTAAGTAGCCAAGGAGAATCTCCAACAATCTGGGTAGGTAATATACTACTCCTCCGATCCTTAATATAAGACCCATTTAACTAATTTGATTACATTAAAGAAGTTAGGTAAGTTAGTTAATTATAATAAAAGTGACACATTTTTTCTAAAATACCATAATCCTCTTTCTTATATTATTTCCTAATTAATATGTTAGCCTTAAGGGGTGCTAAAATGTTTATAAGTGGGGAATACACTAAAATAATTATGAAAAACTTAGAAAGTGATATAATATGTGTGTATCTTCATATATCTCACGTTACCTCTCTTTTGTCTCCATTATCTCGTACTATTTCTTATTATCACATAATTCGGGTGGTTTTAAAGTTGAAATTGTAAAGTTGTACTTATAAACAGATGGCATGTATCATATACTTAGTACTTTAAGAAATACTATCTCCACTCGTTAATAGAAAAACTAGTTTAACTTTTAATTTGATCCTAAATATAAAACTCATATCTACTTTATCTCTCATATTTATCGATTTTTTTAAAAATAGTTTTTGTAGTAGTTGTGAGATATTTTAATTATATTATATTGTTTTGTTTTAATTAAAATATCCTGAGTGTGGCCCGTTAGTCAATTAGGCCCAGTCTATGTAGAGTTTTAAACTCAGTGCTTTTTAGTTATTTCTTGACCTTGATGATGGGTTGAGTTTTGACGGCTGACTGAGTAAGTATTTGAAGAAAACCTAATACATGGCTCTTGAGGCTCCCTAACTGGCGGCGTCTCTTTCCCAGTTCCATCACTATACTCACTTCCTAGTCAGAAGAAATCCTGATGTCTTTTCTATTAACAATATCTAAATAATTTCAGTTATTTTAATTTAGATCAAGAACAGGAACATTGTGGATTGCTTGTTTAGACTATCTAGCATGATGAGAGGTATTTATAAGTTTTCTGCTACTACTCTGATAATTGTAGAATTCCATATAAGTATTTGGAGAAAGATATGTATTCATATGGATTGTTCTAACATGTGGTATCAGAACTTGGTATCTGCCTGCTATTTTTTATATATTATTCATAATTTAATTTTGAGTAAACTGCATCAACCTCCCCTCACTTTAACCTAAATTACAAAGACCTACCTTTTATTTTGAAAACTTATGTAGACCTCCCTTAAAATCAAAATATATATCGCACAAATCTTTCTTCTAGTTTTGAGATTCAACTCTTATCCACCTATCCGTTAGTTGACCGTTAAATTATAGGATTGACCCATTAATTTGACCGAATTGCCCCTTCTTAATACAAATATTACATAATAATTATCATTTAATGACATATCATACATCTTTATTTGAAATTAAAAAATAATTTTAATAAATATTTTATTTCTTTGTTATACTATTGAATTGATTACCATATTATAAATTTTATAAATACAAATTTTTATTCTACAACAAATCTTGTTTATTTATTTAAACTTACTTGTGATGTAATTTTTTAAATATATCTTAGTAAAAAATGTTTTGCACTTGTATGTATGTATTTTCAATAAAATTATAAAGTTATGTCTTAATTTATTAAATTTAGTAAAATATTAAATAGATTATTAATAACTATTAATATTAAAAGATAAACTACAGATTTAATATAATGAGAAGTAAAGTAGGAAAGAAGTTTTATTCTAATATTTTTTTAATTAAAAAATGTATGTAAAGAATCTTTCCAGAATATTTCTTAGCGGTGTTAATGGTTTGAACTAAATTGTATACTATCAAAATAGAGGGGAGGTCCGTGTAATTAAGCCAAATTAGAAGAGTGGTGAGAGTATTTTACTCTTTAATTTTCTATTTAAAAATTAATTTGAAAAATGCTTAAATTCACATGAGTTCTCATCAGTTTGATATCCACATTCTATAATAATCACCATCGACCAAGTCCCGAAGTCGCTGTTTTGTCCTTGTTTGGAATCAAATTTCAATATGGCTTTGCATGCATATTTTGTTTCTATCTAGTCTGGATTTCATGCTGTAACTGTTTGGAGTGTGCTTTGTTGTCGTGAGACTCATCGTCCAGAGCCTCCGAAGATCACATTTAGTTTTGGGTTCAAAATCTAGAATTTCGATTTTGTTTCCCATACCATTTTCTTATGGAATTGTTGCCCATATATTGTTTGCCTTGTCTTTCTGTGTATTTCTTCATTAAAATCACACACACAAAATGGCATTAATATTGCCAGAAACATGCCTTGAGTCCTCGGGAAAACGGTTGCTTGAAGTTGCAGGCTTGCGGTTGTGAAGGGCTACGCATCCGAGTCAAGCTGGCAAAATGAGTCAGGTCATTGGGGATCCAGTTCACTAAGGAAGAAGACCAATAAAACGCACAGCTTAATTTATTCCCTTGTTGGGCTTATGTGTGCTTTGGGTCATGGGATTAAAGTTTTTATTTTTATCTTTATTCCAGCTCTTATGTTTTTTTAGTAATGGGCCCGCGTTTTGGGCCTCTCCTTGGGACCTTGGTTCCACTTTGTTTCTATTTTTTTTTTTCGGTTTCTCAATTTGTTTGGGCCTACATGTTAGGCTTTTGAAAATCTATTTAATTTTTGCAAATTGGGCCGAGACCATTGGGTTTATTTTCTAGATTTTATTTACAATTTTCGGCTCTCTGTCTAGGCTATCAAATATAACTTTACCTTTTAATTTTGTCATTTAATTTTGGGTTGGGCAAATTTTGTTTCTTTCTAATTTTTTAATTTATCTTTCCAGAATGGGCCTTCACTGTTTTGGGGCCATTTGTTAACTAGGCTATAATATTTAGGCCTAAAGTTATCTGTTTTCATTTCTGGAAATCACTGTTGGGCTCCATTTAAAAACCTTTTGCTATTTGCTATTTAGGCCATTTGGTTTATTTCCAGAAGATTAGTGTGGCCATTTATATATTTATTAAATTCTAGAAAACTGTTTTTGGGCCTTGTATTTTGTTATTGTTGGTTGGGCTGTCTTATTTGATTTTAAGAAATTATTTAAGCTAAATAAATATTGTATGAGTTCTCAGATTTATTATTTGGAACTCTTTTTGGGTCTGGACATTTTTCATTTTTTCTGAAATTTTGGCTTTGGGCTCTGTTTTGTATTTTGTTGTATGGGCCAATTTTTGTTTTATCTCGAGAAACAGTTTTGGGCTAAATAAAATATTATTTAAATTATCTTTTATTTATTTAGCCGCTTGGCTTATGTATAATGTATTTTATGTGCCATTTAAATTGTTTAAATATAAGAGAAATCAATTTGGCTCTTTTAACATTGGGAAGTTTTGCAAAATTCTTTTGTGCCTTATTTAATTGTTTAAATATTTTGTTTTGGGCAATCATATATTTCTTTGAATTTTGCAAAATTATATTTGATTTAAAATATGCTGAATTTGATTTATTAAACAATTTTTTGGTGCATAAAATAGTGGGAAAATTTAATTTTAGTTATTTAGTCACTTATGTTGATTAAATTAATTGATTAAGTTCTCCATTATGTTGTGCATATATGAGATTTAAATGCACATAATAGATAATTGTGATTAGCATGCAAAGTTGTGAGGAATAGCCACAGCATCCTCTTATATACAGTGCAAGGATAAATAATCACTTACGGATTTTAAAATATCAACTATAATTAATGAGTATTATAATTTGATTACATAAATGGTTTAGTTGATTAAATTATTTAGTTGAAATTCTTCATGGGTTGGAGGATGAATTTGGGAAATTCTCATGAAAAATCATTGCATTGTATGTAAACTATAAAGTGATTCTCCATAAAGTATATTGGCACAAATGATCTCTATTATTGTTGGTAAAAGAGATTCTCAATTTAGTATTTCATTAGTATAAGCTATTATACGTTTTCATGAATATATGCAAGATTAAGTATTTATTTGAAAAAGTATATATTAAATGTTTGGCTCAAATTTGGAATAAAAATGAGATTTTAAATGAGGATTATTAGGTCACCAACTTTAAGACTATAAAGTGATATGCATATATAAGAATTATATGGTGACAAAGAAAGATCTGATTGGAGATAATGATAGATAGATTATTGCCATTGGTGTATTTAAAATCTTATTTTGTTTGTACTAATCATGGGAAGGATTTCTTCAAGTTGTGTGGTGCACGATAGTTTCAAAGATCTTTATGAAAGGGTCAAAAGGTTTATCAAGAATGAGATTTAATGATCTCTTAACCTTATTGATTCCAATCTATGTATAATTAACATTAAGAAATACGTAAACCATCGCAACGTTTTAAGAAAGCTTGAAAGATTATGATTAGTAAAAAATTACATGTACCATTATTTATTTTAAGTTTATGTTCTAGTAAATGGAATTACATATTTTCCTTATAAGTGGCCTCTCACAATGTTTGATCACTATTTGCCTTATAATTATATAATATCATTTGATATGTACAAGCCAAATTGCGTGGTTAATCTGACAAATAGATTAATGCAGTGAGATCAACAAGAGAGATAGATGATGAGTACATCATTGATGGATAATAATCTAGTCTATATGTTAAGTTTCTTCATATAAGAAATCACTAGGTGATATTGTTGAGAGAAGAAACATAGCATTAATAGATATATTGAGCAGTAAGGTTTACAATTTGATTTTCCTCTTAGCTTACACACTCAAGACAATTATGTATATATTAAATGAGAGTCCAACTTAATTTGTATTTAAATTCTTTTGAAAATCTAAAGGGTTGGAAGCTCAATTTATTATATATACTTGTATAAAAATTGTCTTATGAAGGAAAGAGTGTAGAAGGAAAATATTTTTTGAGACTTAAAAAGTCTCAAGCATTCAAGTGCTTTGTCCATCATATTTTAGTGTAGTATTTTGAAGAATACCAAATTTATTATGAATGCCATGATTATTAGGAGTAATCAAACTAATTAAGAGTGATTACATATAAAGAACAATCTTTGATTATAGTAAAACACTGGTTTTGCATGGCACTCACCTTGTTAAGGTGAATGTAAAACCATCATGAAGTTCTTAGATTCACAATTGATCATACTTGAAATTAGAAGTATCAATATTAAGAATTCCGTCAATTATAAAATGAGTATCTGAAAATAAATAAGGGATATCTCAAAATTGATGGGTGATATTCTTTTTTTGCAACTTCAATCTCATTAACAGATTGAGTTAAGATCAATAATGATTGAAATTTGACAATTCATAGTGACTATATGATATACATAAAATTATTTAGTTAGAACATAAATATAAATATTGAATATGATCTTAATTTTATATTTCAAGAAATGAAATAAATTGTAAATACAAGTATTGCTTCATGATAGATATATGAGATTTCAAGATAAACAATAATATTTGAATATTTGTATCGTTGTTAGTGTACAACATCAAGTAACACAAAAGAATATTGTTTATCGAAGATTCTCTATGAAGAAAAGGAACTCATTATAATGAGATATTACCTCCTATATTAATGAATAGTTCCCACCATATCTTCATGGTGCTAATATCTACATTGATTTGGAATATTGTTAGAATCTTTTCAATTTTTGACATAAGGAGAGATATATGAATTAGTGAAAAAGGTCAAATAGCTTATACAAAGAGAACTGAGTCCATGATCAAGTCTCACAATAGTGATAATTAATATATCATGGTATAATCACATGCATGATCAAATTGAAAATATCATGGTTTTGTTTGTATCACTTGATTAGTGAGAGTTGAGTCATCTATAATTTGCATTTAGATTGTCCATATATTGTTCATATTTTAATGACTTTAGGTGTTACAAATGATAGGATGGTCATTGTTCAAAAGTTGTGATCTTATTGGTTAAGGTGTAATATTCTTTTAGAATACATAAATGGATTATTCTCAAGGTACTTGAGATTATCATAAGTAACCTATAATCACAAGTACTTGAACATTCATGAATAGATGACATTTGTCATGTGTAACACACTTGATACGAGGATATGATCAATTGTCCATATGTCTCTAATGTGATCGTTATGTAAAGGAGATTATGAGTATTCTTTCTAAGTTAATTGCTAAGATATTATCTTGTTTGAATGTGCACAAAATGGGCAATGTCATTGCAACGAATATTAGCAGGAGTTATAAGTAAATTAATGCTTAAATGATAACTGAAAAGCTACAATGGTGAAGTACATTACTAAATGTACATTAAGTATCATACTTCACACATATGAGTCAATTTTCTTGAATGATTGAGATCGTTCAATTTAGCTAGATGAGTTAGCAACAAATTGTTAACATTGTGATACACATCCATGCTTAATGAACAAGTTGTATAATGAAAATCACTGATTGTTTCATTTCATCATGAAATGTCTCTTGTAATCATTCATAGAGGCAAGTTGTAAGACTGTTGATTAATGAATTTCACCAAGGGTGTTTGTCATATGACCATGGATTTAATTGGTCATAAAACACATAAAGCATAAATCTTTTGAGTAAAGAGCATGCTTAAAAAGGTCAAAGGATCAATATTTTATCAGAGATGGATCATATTTAGTGATCTAGATGAGGTGTTATCAAGTGATGAAATTTAAATTGTGGTTTGTTGTCTCAAGTTTGATACCTGAATTATGTGAGATTAACAAAAACATTCAAGTTGGAACTGAATAAGCATTTAAGGTTTATTCATAAAGTTATAACTCATTAAGTAAGAATGCTACTTGTAATACATAGAAGGTAACACTCGACTTAAGGGGACTTATCGGCATGATTCTAGTTATATTGCCTTAATTAACCTTGACATGTCAACTGACATATTATGTACGAGCCAAGTGAGAGAATGTGAGATATTTTAATTATATTATATTATTTTGTTTTAATTAAAATATCCTGAGTGTAGCCTGTTAGTCAGTTAGGCCCAGTCCAGCTAGAATTTTAGACTCAGTGCTTTTTAACCATTTCTTGACTTTAATGGTGGGTTAAGTTTTGACGGTTGATTGAGCGAGCATTTGAAGAAAACCTAATACATGGCTCTTGAAGTTCCCTGTCTGGCAGTGACTTTCCTAGTTCCATCACTATGCCCGCTTCCTAGTTAGAAGAGATCCTGATGTCTTTTCTACTAACAATATCTAAATAATTTCAGTTATTTTAATTCAGATCAAGAACAAGAACAATGTGGATTGCTTCTTTAGACTATCTAGTATGGCGAGAGGTATTTATAAGTCTTCCGCTGCTACTTTAATGATTATAGAATTCCATATAAGTATTTGGAGAAATATATGTGTTCATATGAATTGTTCTAACATTAGTTGTACATGTTAAATGTTTTAATATACATAATTAGTATAGATATTTTGAGAAGACAACATCTACTTATTATAAATAACTAATTTAATTAATTTTTAAATTTATTTAAATTAATCAACTAATTCTTATATTAATAACTGGAGTCAATAACATGCTCTCCAATTCTCCACCAACGCTCTTTTATTCTCTTGTTGAATATTTTATACTTTTTTTTATTTTCATAATATGTTATTGCTACAAATCTCTAAAGAATTTGTTCGAGGGATAAACATTAAAAGCCCCTTACCGACTAGTTGAAGGATCTCGTCCATCATGCGAAGATATGGTATTTTGATCCTCTTATTATTTTGCTATTATCTTTATATTTGATGATTTATCATTTGAATATTCGAAATCTATTTTTTTTATAATTATGATTATGATCATATTAATAACAGCTTGTTTTTTTTTAAAAAAAAGGTATTGTATATGTGTTAATTAAATGAAGAGAAGCAATATAATTTTAATTTTCTATATTATAATTAGAAGCTATACAATTTGAATTTTCTATCTTGATATTAAATAGCCAAAAGTCATATAACTTTAATTTTCTATCATCAGACCAAATGGCCATAAGCCACAAAGCTTTCGTTTTGAGAAATTTATTGCGCATTTGTCTATCAATATTTTCATGCGATAAACCTATAATATTAATAAATATACTTACCATTTATTAAGCTTTAAATAAACATTATTCCTAATGATTTTCTTTTGGGGATATTTAAAATATTTTTATTATTATGAATGATATGATTTGTTGCATATAGTTTGAGTACTTAAACAAGTCGATATTTTATACATTATTAAGCCTTTTTTTCTTTCTAATATTATATTTCTTATGATAGTATTATCATGTTTTACCTCACAAAATCTAAGTTTGTGGATCTCGACATTACTAAAAATAAATATTTTATGATGTCTTTAAGACTCAAGTAGTATAATAAGAGATGACCTCATACTTGCTACTTTAGCTTGCATCCTATAATCATAAGTGATTCGATCTAAATAGTCAAATGTTAAGAAAGCGATGAAATCAAACCTATTTGATGGCTAGTCAAAAGAAAGATTAATCCCAAATTAATATTATACAGTTGTGTTGGTATTTATGATAAGTTCCTTACAAGTTATTTGAATAACTTTCAAGTATGGACACCATGCACGCAATTAATAGGTGGTCTGAGTTAATGAAACCTAACACAAGACAAATTAGACATGTTATAGATGAAGTGTAAGAGTAAATTTAGGGCATTTAAGGCCATATATGAATATCTTATATGTATAACAAGGATGTCCTAATGCTAACTCTGTAAGGAATTTCTAGTGCACAAGCATCTAAAGCTAGAAACATTATGTCCACATGGTCACAATAGAGCATTGAGTATGAAGCAAAAAGATAAGGAAGTTGCATGATGGTTGACCTATAAAGTAAGCGTAGGAGATATTAGACCTTAGATCCAAGTCCACACTTGATGGGCTGAACTGTTTGATAAGAAGGAGAGAATTTTTATGGTTAAATAAATCTTAGTTGGATAATGAATCAAATCCCCATTAATTCTTGTGAGAGAATTGGGGGAAAGAAAAGTGACTAACTAGGAAATTAATCAAACATTGATTTCCTAGTTATGAACTGAGGGCAAGTAGAAATCATTCTTTAATAAATAAGAGAGATTGCACTTTACTAAACAGTGGTCACTCGGACACTATAAATAGGATGTGTCCATCTGACTTGCTCTTTATCCCAATTGTAGAGCTTTCTGATTATCTAATATTTTCTCTCTCTTTTTGTGTGTATCTATTGTGTCGCTCTTATTTAGGCTCTTGTAGTCTAAAGGGGTGTTTGGATGAAAACCAAACTGTGATCTTAAAAGTATTTTTACGGTTTATGAAATAGATATTGGGAGGAGTTTGTCTCATTTTGTAGAAAAATGCTTTTAGAAGTGCTTTTGGTAATAGCCAAACACCCCCTAAATATAGTGTGTGCAATTGGAGCTATGATTATTCTTACCCATCTTTTTTTTTTAATTCGTCAACCCTAAGGTTCCGTTTGGTATGAAGCATTGAAAATGAGGGATTGTGATTAGAATTGCAATTGAGAAAATCTATTAAAAAAGTATTTAGCATGAGTAATTGCTTATTATATGGGACTAGACAAACACATAGAAGTAGGATTAGAGAATACCACTTCCACCCATGGTATTCTCTAATCCCTCATATATGGATTTGGCTAGTTCCACATAATAAGCAATTACTCATGCTAAACACTCTTTTAATAGATTTTCTCAATTACAATCCCAATCACAATCCTTCATTATCAATGCTTCCTGCCAAACGCAACCTAAATGCTCTCTTGGAAGCCAATCTTACAAGCCTACACTTAAAGTTAATTTAAGGAAGATATTAGTGACATTAGGTCATAATTTATCAGTGTATTAATTAATAATTAATAAATAATTATGAGCGAACAAAGTTAGGGTAAGTTAGGTTAGCCTTGTTGGCGAAGAAAAGAAGAGAAAAGAAAAAGATTAGATTAGCTTTATTACGAGCGATGCTGATCAAATTTTTAGTGGGGTTTAGTGGCTTGGGTCCCAAGACAAAAAGAAAGTTCAGTACGCTAGCAATTAGTTTTAATACATACGGTAATTGAGAGTAAAGTATTTGGTACTGTTGAATACAATATTTAAAAATATAAGGCATTTTTTAGCTTTTGAAAAGTAAATAATAAATTTCTCTAGAAAATGTTCTTAAAGAGCATTAGAAATTAAGAAGGTGTCGTTGTGTTATTAATAATTGTAACACTCAATTAGTAATGATACAGGCGTAAAAAATAGTACTTTTTAATTACCTAACTATTTTTCTGAAATACGTAAATTAATCAAAATTACCTTGTAATAAAAGGAATACATTCTACCTCAAATATAAAAACACATAACAATATCGATTTAATTTAGTTTTTTTGATTAGATAATTTAACCCACACACCCACTTTTTTTTTTTTTTTAAACAACACACACACCCCCAATAACCTGTGGTCATTATGGTATGGCCAATAAACCAAGTGATTATTGGCGAGTTAAATTTAGTTAAACTCATTAAATAAATAATAAGTTATACAATTTTAAGCATAACATTTTTTCTTGTGAATCAAATATATTTAGCTCTGATATTTTAACCAGAAAAACACTCAATAATTTTAAAAAATTACCTATATTTTAAATCATCAAAACACATACAAATTATTTTATATCTGAAGAAAAACAGAGTACAAAAATAAAAATTTTATACAATTATTTGATATATTTTATTATCAGAATTAAATTTAAGTACTATCAAATCAAATTAGAAGCATTTCTTCCAACATTTGTTTTCTTAATCAGGAAGTTTTCTTCCGCCAGTAAGCTCAAGTCCTTTTCACATAGCAATTAATTTAGGGAAAATGACAAGAAAAAAACCTTAAAAATAAGAAATTTAAAAGGGTTAATATAATTTTTAGTCATTTGAATTTGTCCTCATGTTAGTTTCAATCCATCCAGTTCTAAATCATAAATTTTGGTCCTTTAAATTTTTTTCAATTAAAACTTGAAGGAACAAAACCAAAATAAAAACAAATTTAAGAGACTAAAAATTATATTAAACTAATTTAAAAAAAGGCAGCTAACACTTCTAAATAATAGGAAAGAAGGAAAAAGCTAAACTAAAATAATGAAAATGCGAGGAAATGACCAATATGTTGTTGTGTTAGTTTTGAAAAATGAATATATTTGATATGAAAATAACAAAATTGTAACATAAATTAACAAGTTTGAAATACAAAATGACAACATCCTTTTCTGGAATCAAAGCATATGTTCCTTTGGGGAAATCACTAAATTTGACATGGAAATAACAAGACTTTAAACCATAAATTAACAAGTTTAAAATGCAGAATAATGACATCATTTTTGAGCAACACACAAAAACATATTGGTCATTTCATAATATCTCCATAATTTCTTTTCCTATTATTTAGAAGTGTTATATGCCCCTTTTGAAAATTTCTATCATCTTGTTCTTATTTATAAGTTGATAATTTTTTTCATACTTACCTTTGTTAACGAAATGGGATTAAAAATATGTTTTATATTTTTTCTCACTTATTTACTTTTATCTCTATTTAAATTTTTTTTTTTGATATAAACCATCCGGTATCCAACCGCGCCTTTTCTGGGCCCCAGCCTCTTTGGGCCAGTTGTACCCGAGCGATCGACTAGTCCTGATTCGGGCCGGGCGACAAGTAAAGCCCTCCCCGGTACCCTTTTTAACAAGTGAGGATTCGAACCCCCGCCCTCAAAGAGCAGAGACTCGCCTCACTTGTGGCCTAGCCAGTCACCACTAGGTCAGGAGTATTCGGGTATCTCTATTTAAATTTATTAAGTTCACATGAATAAAATTGAAATAAAACTCATTAATTACCGCGGCAAAAAAAAACTCATTAATTACCCTGCAGATTACTTATATTTAGAAACAAACATTTTTTTTATACTTCAATCATAAATAGAAACGTAGCAGTATTTTAAAGGGTTTTTAAAAAAGATATAAAAAAGATTAGTTCAAACATGGCGGTCCTTGTTTAGGTGCGGTAATGCGGTTTGCGCCATCAGTACTGTACTTCACAGTTCGTACATAATCTAAAGGATTGCATTTTGCTTAATCGTGTCTGATTTTGTCAACTCACACTCCTTAGTTTCTGTAATCAGCTTATTCATCATCGGGTAAGCTCATCGTCTTTCGCTCATGAGTAGACTTCTTGTTTTTAGCTTTCTTATAGCTCTTAATTTTTTTCCTCCTTACTCGATCAATTAGGTTGTTGAATTTTTTCCTCCTTTGGAGGAGCCTCTATTTAAGCCCAGGATCCTAACTTTCTGCTTGGCTCGTTAATTTCTATAATAATTATTTTCTGCATGAGTTAATTATTTATTTATTGATTCTTATACTAATAAATTCCTGCTTTGATTGCTATTTGATGAGCACGGGATTCCTATTCCCTTTCCTTGAGACGATAGAGGTTCGTCAAATTCGTTCGATTTTTCAATTTGAAGGTTAATCTCTGCAGCAAAATCTTTTGTCTTGGGCAGGAGTAGACACGCCTTACTGTAACACGTTAGCATATACAACCCGTGTAGTTCCTGCTTTCTGATTTTGTCTCTTTTGATATATAGCGATTGCAATGAAAGCCTTGCCTAAACGGACAAATAATTGAAATGAACTATGCATGTGGATCATCTTTGGTGATTAAGAAATTTACAAATTCTATTTCATTCCAAGACAAAGCGGTCTGAACAGATCATTGATTGTGTGTGTATAGCTATACGACCTGAAGCCGAATCCTTTATTATCTTTCCTGGTGGGGTGACATGGTCTGGTCGATATTGCACTTGTAGTTGGCAATATTACTGAAATTCAATTGGTTTAAGTTAGGCAGTCTTGTTATAGGACTTATTTATCTGTGTTGGATGTAAGAATTGTATCTATTTGGGTCACTAATGTCGATTCTTTGAAACAATGAATTATTGATTTCATGTAGGAGGAATTGCAAGCTAAATTGTGAAGATTATCTCTCCTTTTGAGTTTCTTTCAATCTCCCAGATGTTCATGAAGTCTGTTGAATAGAGTGTAAGTGGTGTTAAGGTAACATCACACTTATTCCTTGTCAATTGAAGGAAAACCTTTCCTTGCCTCCTTCTTGTCCTCTAAATGGATGATCTAATCACTGTTTGGGCACTGTCTCTGCTGGGGGATCTGCATAAAATAGAAAGTTCCGTTATGTCCTTCAAGATTTTTGTGTGAATTCTGTCTGCATCTGATGATCTAGATTACCTCATAATATGGCTGCAGTGGTATTAACATTCTTTTCCTTCTATGTCCTACACCTACGTATAGACTGTTTCTGCTCTTTTATGTTATGGAACTTTATGTGATAGGTTGGACAGTGTGATGCTGCAGAAAACATAGATAAAATGTATTAAATTCCAGCTTCTTTTCTTTTTCTTCCTCCTCCTTTTGTGGTCTTTTAGGAGGCAAAAAATGCATATTTATTCTAGGATTTCTAGAGCAATATGCACAGGTTATCCATGTATAATAACACTTCTAGTTTTAGTTTTAGTTTTAGTTTACTGTGCAAAAATTCATTCTATATAGGTGCAATGCAGCATAATGAACACTGATGCTGGGATTTCATCTTCCAAAATTGTGGATTCAACGAGTAGTTGGTGTCAGCTGGAAATTTGCTATACAGTTTCTATGAAGCAAACTGGTCAATACTCCATGGTTCATAAAGCTACTCAGAGTTCGCCTTCTCCTGTACTTTCTTTTGTGGAGAGAGGGCCTCAAGATGCAGAATCATCTCATGTAACAGCGGTTGATTCAGAACATGGATGCCCAAAGTCAGGAAATGAGTCAACTTCATCTAAGACCATGCGAGATGTCCATATTGTAAGAACTTGGACTGCATATCTAAGCCCCTACATTAGAACTATAAATATTCTATTTTGCAATGCTGCAGGGCTCTATCTGTACATAATTAGCAGAACACATACATAATTAGCAGAACACACACATAATTAGCAGAACACACCTTTTTGAGTGCATGACTATTGCTGTGTATGGGTAACTAATATGTGCTCATTTCATATTTTTCAGTCAACGAGGTTAATGGAGGACTTTCTTGAGGTTGCTAAAGAAAATACAGAGAAGGATCTGGAAACATGTGGTATACTAGGTGCCTTCCTTGTAAGAGTCGATATAAATCCATTTTTTATTTCTGTCTCATCATAAATGCTCATAGCCTTTTATAAAATGTTTAAACTGCAGAACTATTCATATCACTGGCCTAATTACTTTATTTCTAAAATTTCTTTGTATATATATTTGGAAATATTAATGCCATTCGTTAATCTGCATTATGCTGGAATTTCTCTCTCACATGTATATGTCTTATTTTTATGTTTTTTTTTTCCCGTTATACTAGCTGAAAATTAGAATGCTGGTGCGATGTTTTGTCGCTCTAGACTGTATGGTTAGTTGCTTTTAAATGTATGCTGTGACATTTTACAGACTGAAACCAGCTAGTATTTAAAAAAAAAAAAAAACAGAAATGTGGAAACTAAAGTGACGAATACGTTCTCAAATATTAGATTGTCATTAATTATTTCTTTCAATCATCCAGGCAAAGGGAACCCTCTACATGACCACTCTGATTGTGCCAAAACAGGAATCAACTTCCAGTTCTGTGAGTATCTTGGAGCTACTTTTGCACTGTTATTTTATCTTACTTAATGGGCTATGGTTTCACTACTGCTTGTTGCTGACTTACAGCATTAAATGACAGTGTCAAGCTACAAACGAGGAGGAAGTTTTTGCAATTCTAAATGAAAGATCCCTTTTGCCTGTGGGATGGATCCATGTATCTCTCTTTGTTCTTTTTGCTATTAAATTTATTTTTGCATGTTGATAACAGTTTTTTTTTTGTTTTTTTTTGGGGGGGGGGGTTTGGTGAATGTTGACAGCAATGTTCTTAAAATATATTCCATGCTGTCATTTTGGCATCTCTGATTTTTTTTTACTTCCACTGGAACCATTTTGGTGGCCCAACCTGCCCGTTTTGATGGCACTCTGCAAGTTTAGATCCACCAGAATCACCTAAACTTTTCAATCTCTTCAAGATTGATTAATTAATTCTATTACTTCCTGTGTAGATTTGTTAGATTTCAGTTGGCATCAGAGCTCAACTTTTCCAGCATCATATTTCTTTACAAAAGGCAGTTTTTTTTTTCTTCTTCCTCTGGTGATGTTTACAAAAGGCAGTGTTGTTCTTGAAGCTTCTAAACTAATTAGCATATGAATGTGATTTTAAGGCAGGATGGGGATTTTTGTTTTTTCCTTTTACGGCTAATTAACCATTTTATTTTGTCTATTTTTCAATATAAAGTTTCTTTGCATGAGTTTAGCTATACCCGTTGGCTTCATAATTCTAACTCTTATTTTTATTCTGCATGCTTTTAGACCCATCCTTCTCAAAATTGTTTCATGTCATCAGTGGATCTGCACACTCAATATTCTTATCAGGTGACTGACATTAATGCTTCTGACTTGTTTGTTGTAGAAGCGTTTGTATTGCCCTGTGATTCACTTTCATATGACTATCAGAATTCAGAAGCATTACCTCCTTTCTGAATGGCAGCTCAATTACAGCATCCCATATGAACTAGAATTAAAGCAAATGTATTTTTAACACTGCTGAAAGAGGTTATTTTGAGGGTTGTGACTCTGGTGATTGAGAAGAAATTAGGGCCATCTGAAACACCAGTAGGATGAAAATATTATGTGGGAAGTACATGCTTTCGCAGTTGTTTTCTACCACAGTTAATGATTAGTTGTTTTTAATCTTTTGGTTAGGGTTTGTGTGAAATCGGAAACCATGCCTTGTTATCTGATGACATGCTATTGCAACTCATTTCCTTCTGGCTTAATGAGAAAATAGATTCCTGATGATCATTTTATACCAATATTCAAATGATAGAAAATATAAAATTTATAACAAGCCGCACTATTCTTAAGTCATGAATAGTCTGATTAATTTCTCAAACCCCTTGTAATGCACAAGACCGAAGTCTACTTGAATATTAATAATGTACACAACTATTCACCAAAATGGTTCAAATTTTGAAGTATATGGTTACCAGAAAAAGAAAAATTATGAACTCTGCCTTCTAGATCAAGTATGACGGCTTGGTATTATAATTTCAGGTGATGGTTCCTGAGGCTTTCGCCATTGTGCTGGCTCCTAAAGATACCTCAAGGTCTCATCATTTTCTTCTATGATACATCTTAGTCCAAAATTTCACTAGTTGATTAAATCCTTTTGGCTTGAAGGTGGCACAGATGGATTGGGAAACATAAGAACAGGATATCTAAAATGCGATTAATACATACATCCAATTGGGAAGAAGTGTAGCAAATTTTTAGCGAAACTAGCTGTCTTTGTTCCCTTACATCGTATAGTAATTTGGACATGCTATAAAAAGTGAAGTGGTTGTTGTTGTAGTTTCTCTTGAACCATTGGAAACCTCTTACTGTTCCTGTGCTGTTATACCAGCATTATGTTGCTTTTCAATGGTACAAATAGATCAGTTTCGAATTTTTGAATGTTCTTGTTTCTCGATAAATAAGTTACACACAGCTTAATTATGTGACATTGCTCAGGAGCTGTGGACTGTTTCGGATAACTGACCCTGATGGAATGAGCATTCTAAAATGCTGCCCAGAGACAGGATTTCATCCACACAAAGACCCAGATAATGGGAGTCCCACGTATGAGCAATGCTCCAATGTCTACAAGAACTCCAATCTGAGATTTGAAATCTTTGACTTGCGCTGAAAATGGCCTTGTTCATATAACACAGGTCTTGCTTTTCAAGATACACTGGCAGAAGTTATCATGACAGCTATGTCCTAGTTACTTGACCTGAAAAAGTTCTCGACTTTCTTGACATGTTCAGTATACATAACAATATTTTGGCGCACGGTAGTTATTACAAAGAGACAGTAAAAGCTCATCAAGGCATCCCTTTTGATAGGCATTTATTGGCCCTTTGTATAGCCAGCAGGTACTAGATGGTGTAAAAAAATTGTCAGTTCAGTGGTTGAGGTAAAGTGGGTTTAGTACTAAAAGCTCATTGTCTTGGTCCGTATTGTGTTGTGACGCGGGGAAACCAACTTGACCTTTAGTTGTAAGAAGCAGACTAAATAAGGGTTTTCAGGTAAAAGAAAAAGAAAAAGAAGACGACCAAATAAGGGTTTCTTTTATATATCTCCTTGTCTCAGTATTATGGCTTTGCCTGATATGAGAGAAATTCTTGTAATTTGGATCCCTAACACACTTTTTGGTTAGAAGGTTTTTGAAGGAAAGGAAGGGAAGAGGAGGGAAAATTGTGTTTGATTCAAAAAAATAGAGAGAAGGGAAGAATTTTTTTTTGTCTTTTAGTGCTTCCCAACTCTCCTTTTGTTCTCTTCTAAATTTGGGGTTTTTTGAAAGAGAGAGAAATATTATGTCTTATTCCGATTAAATTATCTATATTAGTTTTTTAATGTTTCAAGTTTATCCTTCTCACAAAAAAACTTTTTATTCTATGTAAAGCTATTTTTTATTGGTTTATATGAGTTGAAGTCGTTGAAATCTTTCACGCTCTCTGCTATTAATCTTCCAAATTCGTTGATGTGTGTCTATATATACTTATTTTAATTCAATTTTACTTTTTTTTTCCTCAAAACTCTATGTATTATCTAATTATGTGAGGTTGCGTACGTTGTATAATTAAGGATGATGTAGTTCAAAAATTGTAGTATAGATCTATTTATAATTTATATAATATGCTAAAAATTATAATATATTTTCTATTGACATTTATTTTGATATGTGATTATTTATAATTTATTTGTTGTGTCTCAAGGTATCTGGTTTTTTTATATTCACAAATTAGAAAATAATGATATAAATATCATAATAAAATAAAATAAAAAATCTGAACAAAAACGTGAGAATATATTTGTTAATTTATAATTAACTTCTCTCCATTCTCCTCTTAGACCAAATGAAAAATCTCCCCTTCACTTTCTTTCCCTCAAATCAAACAAAACTCATACCCTTTGCTCTCCTCTCCCCTCTCCAGCTCTCCTTAATTCACCTCCCGTCCCCTCTCTTCGGTGAACCAAACAAAGCTTAAGTGACGGCCTGACGCGGGAAAAGGGACGTGGGAAGGCATATGGTAGTGGTAACTCAAAAAGAAAGCATATGATAGTGGGCCCTATTTTTGTGGGACCCTTATGTTACAATGTACATATATTTTTAACCTGAACCCACATGTTGTAACATATGGGACCCGTGCCATTCGGGCATTGTCTGTGATTGGATGAGTGATTAAATGAAGGAAGAAGAGAGATATGACACAATGATTTATGACATGGCATTGAATCATTTGCTGCCCGCGGTATCACTCACCAAGATGAATGACAATTAAAAATTATTCAAAATTATCTTTGAAAATAGAAACAAAAGGTATCTACAAGTAAATAATAGAAAATTAAAAATATAGAAATAAAGATAAATAAATGCATATTTATATTAATATAAATGAATAAAAATGAGATATTAATGAGATTATATATGTATACTACCTACTGTCCTTAATATAAAATCTCGTTTGACTTTTATTTTGATCCTAAATATAAGATTTCAATCCACTTTGTCTATAATATTTATGCATTTTTTTCCAAGATAGTTCTTCTAACAATAATAATTCTAGCCAATACACTTGATTAGTAATGATATTTTAGAAAAGACAACACCTATTTATAACAAATAATTAACTTAACTTTTTTCCTTAATTTTCTCAAATTAGTCAACTAGCTCTTATAATTAGGACCGGAGGTAGTATATTCTTAGCTTAATAAATCAAATGAAGGAAGAGAATGTTTTTGTTATATTTCTCCTGCTTGAAAAATAACTCATCTATTTTCTTTCTTTCATATTATTCCTCTTGTAATGCCTTCTATTTTTAATATAAGACTTAACTGACTAATTTGAAGATGTTTAAAAAGTTAAATAAATTACTTAACTATAACACATATTATATGATTTCTTTGAAATAGTTGTATATCATTAGATTATCTATCAGTTTATAAATTAAGCAAATTAATTTTAAAAAAACAATAAATACAAATATTTTAACATAATTTATTTAGTTTTGTTAATATTTTTAAATTAATTAATTAGATTTACTTCCCGCAAGCTGTCATACAAGTCTTAAATGATTTAAATCACACGAGTGAAAATGGTATATGAACATGGCCATAAACTTGCACGGTCAATATAAGTGAATTTTTTTAAAATAATAAAACAGGGAATAATCATTCCATCTGTATTCAAAAGAGCAAACAGGGACAATTTGTATTCATAATAACCCTAAAAATTGGTCCAAGATAATGAGAATGATATCACAAATTAATCACATAAATTAAACAGAAAATTTAATTTTTTTCCCTATATATTATAATAGTACTGAAACAAAGCCACGAGACTACAAAGTTTTTGTTGTTATTATTAGTAAAGATAAATGTAGTAATGCATTTTGTAGACATTTGGATTTGCTATCAGAATTGAATAATAATAATAATAATTAAAAAAATGTAAACAGCTTGTGGTGAACTGTAAATGAGAGTCCATTAAATTGAATTAAATATATTAAACATGAGAAACTGAGAATATTAAATGATTTAATTAAAAAAAAACATAAGTACCAAATCAAAAATGAAAAAGAAAAGTATAGTTATCTCTAATAGGGTTTTTTTGTCAAGAATAAATAAACTGCATGCAATAGTTGTAAGCAGCTTGGAGGGTGTGTCTCACTGTCTTGTGAGTGACTGAGCCTTTCCATGTTTTATATTGAGAAAAGTGTGGGAGGACGGCCTCTTTGTGAATTTGGTCGGTGTACTTCATTCATACTTTATATCCCACATTTGCAGTTCAAATTTTGAAGTTCCTGTTACTTCCAAATTTATTATCTTTTCTTGATCGTTGAATGTTTTTATGAGAGAAAGAAAGGTAGTAGTAATATTTTATAGGGAAAATCTCAAAAAAATAACTGCTGAATTTTTAAATTTCAAATTAGTATTGGTTACTACACTTGTAAAGAAAATGATTATATTCAAAAAACGAATAACAACATATTTTTGTAATAATTTTTGATTTGTCATTTTAAAATTCAACGGTCATTTTTTTAGAATTTTTCCTATTTTATAATTTCATTCTGGCATTCTGAGCTTTTGTTCCGACTGGGTGGGATAAAGGTTGTATATGATTTGAAAAATAATATTAATAGATTTTTTTTTTCGCTGCTTTACTGGTTATTACAACTTGCAGTAAATGTTAAAAACCCGGTTTTAAATTTTAATTCATTTTTATGGTTTCTTAATTTTTTTTAATTATACTGCACAGTGCACACACCCATCACATCCAAAATAAAAAAATTGTTGTTTGATATTATTAGACTACAAGTTACTGTTTGTTAATGGACGTTAGAAATCAGTGGCCAGCCGGGTGGACAATATACATGAGAATCATTGGATTTTTAATTATTATTTTAGAATTTCAATTGAACGTTAATTGTTATAATAGATAAAGGTATGTTTCTTGGAACTTTATCTATCCGTTTGTACTACTTTCAGTCCTAATTATAAAAATTAGTTGACTAATTTAAGAAGATTAAAGAAATAAGTTAAGTTAGTTATTTATAATAAATAGGTGTTGTTGTTTCTAAAATGTCTTTACTAATCAAGTGTATTGGATAGAACTACTACTATTATTAAGACTCTTTTGAACAAAAATATATAAATATGAGAGATAAAATAGATTAGGGTTTTATCTTTAAGATCAAAATAAAAATCAAATAAGATTTTATATTAAAGATCAGAGTTAATATAATTTTAAACTACAAACATTTGCAGAGGGAGTATAAAATAAAAAATGGGAAAATCCCAAAAAAATGACTACTAAATTTCAAAATCCCAAATCAGGAATTACTACAAAAATGGGTTGTCATTTACTCTTTGAATGTAGTTATTTTTTTTATGAGTGTAATAACGAATACTGATTTTTTTTTTTGAACTAAAGTAACAAATACTAATTTGGAATTTTAAAATTCAGCTATCATTTTTTTGAAATTTTTCCTAAAATAAAGCTAGACGGGGTATAATTTTGAATTAAGGCGCATGTATACCCATGAAATATTTTGTTATAGATACTAAACACCGTATATTTTATTTAGATGCAAATTTACATCCAAAATTATTCACCAAGAAAGTACACCTAAAATTTTAAAAATGATGTCAAATTGTAACCACCGTTAAATCAATCAGCGTTGCTTTTTAGCTACTACTGCCCATGTGCATGACACAATGTTTTCGCTCCCAACAATAATAATGCCCTGTTCACCACTGTGGAGTGCTCCCCCGGTAATCTTATTTTTAGAAAGCGATGTAATCTAAAATATAAATTTTATTTTTGAGTTGTCTAAATATTTATTATTATTTTTAATTTTGTTCTTAGTTAACTGTATTTAGTGCTCTATCTCTCTCATAATTTTTTTACTTATTGTCTCTTTTATTTACTATCTTAATAAATAAGGATAAATTTTTAAAAAAAATATTTCTAATTTATTTATTATTTTTAACTAATTTTAACTGCTAATTTTCTCTCATCATTTTTTATTTATTGTTTCTTTTATTTACTATCTTAATAAATAAAGACAAATTTTAAAAAAATATCTTTAATTTATTTATTATTTTTAACTAATTTTAACTATTAATTTGCTAAATATGATTTGGTTATTTAAAGTTTATTTTGCATGACAGAATGGCTAGTTGGCTACACCTGTCCTCCTCCCAACTGTCTCATCCACCGTCATTTGCTTTTTTGGCTTCTTCATCTTCAATGATTTTTTTTTTGACCGGATAATGATTTTTTTTTTTGAAACTAATGAACTGTGAGTTAGAAGCATTGCCATTATAAATTAATGCGTCCAAAATTTTTGATAACATCCATCAACGGTGAAGAAACCAGAAAAGACAAAGGTCTGTGGCAGCCGCTGTGTCTTGAAGAAGATCTACAACGTCAAACAAAGGTCATTGGGACCAAAAATACTGGGCAACATACAATATTAGTTGTAACTTAATAGTTATAATATTTTTATATCATTTTAAAAATTTCATAGGTATTTTTATATTATTTTTTGAACTAATACTCCTCCGGTCCTTAATATAGGACTCAATTGTTGAGTTGGTTTTGGTCCTAAATATAAGACCCATTTCTCATATTTATCAATTTTCTCTAAATTACCCTTATGGATACTCCCTCAACCATAATTAAGTAAAAGAGGAAGATGAGGTTTTAAGAAAGATGATTATGGTATTTTAGGAAAAACATGTCACATTTTTTATAATTAACTAACTTACCTAACTTCCTTAATTTAATCAAATTAGTTAAATGAGTCTTATATTAAGGATCGGAGAAGTATCTTTTTTAAACGGTTAATATTAATTGATTTAATAGTAATAGCATTTCGGTACTATTTTAAAAACTTTTGCACTTTTCAATAAAATAAAGTTTTTTTCTTCATTACTAGATTTGCACATTAATCCTATAAAATTTTGGGAATTTATATATTTAAAAATTACTAAATTACGCTGTTACAGTTTAATCATATATGCATTTGTACTGTAACTCTTTTAAGTGCAACGGTCATCTTCTTGCTAATGTCACTAATTAAGTATTAAAGAAATACCCAAGTAAAAAAGTTAAAATTTTTCAAAAATTAAATAACACAACACATCACAAATTATGAACTTTTTAATATTTTTTTAATCTCTTTCCCTGATTTGATGTAATAAAATACCATCATCAGTACATGATAATATTTCAGAAGCACTGAATTTACATAATCATTGAGGAGATTACAAACTCTTCTTCTTGAAGAGCAAAAAAAATCCCTCTCAATTCTTCTCAAGGATTTTAATCCCTTCACCTAAACGTTCTTCCCCTAATCGAAGTTAGATTCCTGTGCCTGAAGAAAAAACAAAAAAACTAATTACTTACAAACTAATCAGCTTTCCAGTTTCTTCTTTTCCTGATTCGATCATGTTAAGCTCCACGAATTCTCAGAAAGGATGAACATTTCTGCTGAATCCGTTCACGTTGGTGAAGAACCCTACCAGATCTTGCTTGTAAGGTAAGTATGATCTTCTTTTATCACTCTCCTTCCTCGTTCTGATCATCACGTAATGTTTCTCTGGTCCCCACGACGCCGTTTTGCTCTTCGATTTCCTTACGGCGTCATTTTTCCCCTCGCCGGAGCTCCTCTTAACGTTCGCGGCCTTTTCGGCCTCCGTCGTGGAGGAGCTAGTCCGCTTCTTGCCGCTGTTGGCGGTCAAGAACACGAAAGCGTCCTTCCCGTCGCTGTTGCTCCGGAGCTTCAAGTCTCGGAGTCTCCATAGCTTCGAGAATCCTGTGGAATTGCTCTTCTCGCACCTCTGGTTCAAAACCTCCGTCGTCTTCTTGTTCGACCACCTACAGTACGAACCCACCGGCGGCGCTCTTTTCCATTCGACGGATTCGGAGCCCACCAACGCCGTTGACGAAACGTCCCGCCGCTCTACAAAGAGTTTCTTCAACGGCGGACGGGGAGGAGACGCGCCGCTGCACTCTTCAACAAAGAGAGGGAACTTAGGACGGATCTGACCGTTGTGAAAGAGCTCATCAGCAGAAGCCAGAGTCTGATGAGAAAAATCCCCACAAACAAAGCTAAACTCCTCCTGTTCACCCCCATTATTCAAATCCGGTTCCTCAATCCGAAGCTTGGCGCTAAAATCGAGCGCAAATTCTGCAGAAACGTCAAGGGAATCACAGACTGCAGGAGAAGAAGAAGAAGAAGAGGCGGCCAACACGGAAGCCATTGTTGTTGCTGCTGCTGCTGAAAAAGGTTTGGATTAATCTCACTTCGTGATATGAAATCCGAAAGCCTCTGTGAGTAATTTGTGAGAAAGTGAAGATTGAATTGAACTAACCTGAATTGAATTGAAGAGTGAGAGAGGAATGTTGGAGTTATATACATAAAGTTGGGGGGATGGGGATTTTTTTGAATTTGGTTGGGAGGGGTTTTAGTTAAGGAGGTCGTTGGGATTTGGGAAGTGAGGGGGTTAAGAGGGTAATTAAGATGACTAATAATGGGGTAATCATTAACTAAGTGAAATAAATTAAGGTTGTTTTTAAAAGGGTAAGGGTATTTATGGAGGAAGGGGAAGGGCATTGTAATGCGTTCACTCGCAACACGTGTTTAACTGTTCACGCGGCAGCTTCGTCACCCCAACTGAACTGCTTCTTCTTTGCTTCTTTTTCACATTACTTCGCCAATGTTAGCCGCAACTCCAAAAACCTACTGCTGCTTTATCCCCAACCAAAAAATTACTACCATCTTTATACTGTTACTACTCTAGTTTCGAATCTCTACCGCTCTCATTTTATTTATAAATCATTTGTAGGATAATTAGTAAGTTTTTTTTAATTTTATTTTTGTTGAGTTAATAAATACATAAAGAGAAAGAGAAAGTAAATAAGTAGGAGAAAATATAAAACATAGTTTTAATACCTCTTTTTAATAAGGACCGGTGGAAAAAAATTATTATTTTAATACATTTTTTTGGTTTACGGGTTTAGAGTATAAGTAACTTACTATAAATAGGAACAAAGTGGTATTTTAAGGTAACTTTTTTAAAAAAAAAAAAATGATTCGTGTTATAAGTTACTTAATGAGATGTTAATTTAAATTTATTTTTTATTTTCAAAATACTTTAATGAATTAATTACCTTTTCTTTAAATCACGTGTTCCTAATATTCTAGTTTTAATCAAGAATTTAGATGTGTTTAAACTTGATGATTAATTGAGATTTTGAGATGTCCTCATGAATGATTGATCCATTTAATAATAATAGTAGTAGTAGTAGTAGTAATAATAACAGGTACTTAATTAAGTTAATGATGCCACATTAATCATATTTTAAATTGAATAAAAATACGAAGGGAGTATTTCAAAATTGGGAAACACCATCATGAATTATCTAACAAGTGAACTGCAAATTCAATTTAGCATTAAATTTGGAAATATGGGTACGGTGAAAAAATTGAATATGGCAGCAAAATGGAAAAATCTTTCACAGAACAGGCACAAATACTGGGGCGCGCGCGCGCGCGTCTACCTACTAATATTAATTAAACCGTAATTCAGGTGAGAAGCTAAAGTTTTTTTTTTTTTTGGGGGGGGGGGAGATGAGAAGCTAAGCTGAGAGAACCAACCAATGCAAAACATGAACTTCATAAGAAACCAAATATTACTCTTTACATTATTTATTTTTTGACATAAAGATCAATCTACTAAACCAATAAACCAATCCTAATCGGAATTGATGACTTTTTATATTATTGATGAACTGAGTAACCCTCTCTCTATTTATGTATATCCCAGACAAACTTGATATTTAGGTTCTGTTTAGTACGAGGTATTGAAAATGAGAAGTGAAGATTGGGATTGGGATTGAAAACATATATTGAAAAGATGTTTAGTATAGATAATTTCTTATCACATGATATTAGACAATCTCATGTAAATGGGATTGGAAAATACAACATTCCTTTATGGTATTTTTCAATCCCACATATATAGATTTATCTAATCCTAGGTATATATCAAACAATTACTCATGTTAAACACTCTTTTAATATAATTTTTCACTCTCAATCACAATCCTTATTTTTTCATTTTCAGTTTTCATGTCAAACAGTTAGTTTCTTGCCCTTTCTCAACAATCTTTTAGATTGAGAAGTACTCTTGTTGTATATAAGAAGCTTTTGATAATTTTATCAAACGTCTTGATAATGTTAACGGCCATTAAATATTTGTTCACATATATCAATATTTAACAAGGATAGTAAAAAAAAGAAGAAGTAGAAATTAACATGATATTGAAATTTAGAATAATTAATATGAGTAATATTAACATCACTTAAATTTCATGACAAATTTAATACTTCTAATTATTTTTATGGATATGTCGGAATTAGACATAAGTTTTGTTTGGATTAGTATTAGAAATTATTTATAAACACGTTTTATTCAAAACGAGATAAAATGCTTTTTACATATTTATACCGTTTTTCATAAATCATGATCGAACTTCTAAATCATTTTAAATAGGCCAGAAAAACATGTTGCATTATGGATAAGGGGATCGTGAAATTGAAGATGCTCAAGAGAGTAATCATCCTAGGGATTTGGCATGTCAGGTTCAGAATATTGATGCGCCGACAATATTGGAGGACCCCACGAAATATTTTGCTGGTTATAGTAATGGGATGGGGTTTGCAGATTAAAATAATAGAGAGGTTTTCGTTATTTGAATAACCAGATTCAAGGAATTGGTCTTTCCAAGAATTTTGATTATCAAACTGAGGTTGATGCTCTTACAGTATTTTGCCGGTAACGAGTGGAGAATCTTTATTATCAAAATGAAATTGTGAAAAGGTTAAATTTAAACCCCATACAAACTATTTACTGTGCAGATGGATTATCTATTTGAACACTTATTGGATTGATACACTGAAGGTATTGAAAGACATGATGGGATAATCCGAACTCAGGAGTCATGTCAAGAATCCTGCAAACTCTAGATTTTAATTCAAGAGTTATATCACCTCAATTCGTTTCTGAAATTTATTATTTTTTAATCACATAATTAAATAAGATAATTTAAAAAAATTAACATATATTTGTTACAAGTAAACAATTTTACTATTTTTTTAAATATTTTTAAATTAGTTATCTTATTTTTATATTAAGAATAGGTAGTATTATCTCATTTTCTCTCTTTCTCACTTTCTTTATGGCTTGGGTGTAGGAAGTATTTCAGAGCATGAGTAACTCCATGAGTATGTGCTCTTGTAACTTGTAACCACAAAATTTTTTTTAGGATGAGACTTAAGATTTTTCCCTTTAAATTATAAACGAATTGGTCCTGTATAAGGTGGGCACATTTTAATTTTATTTTTTTAAATTATTCATATGAATACTAATGCTGCAAATATTTAGTTGTTATTATTTTTTAAATTGAATTTCATAAAACGGTTTCACTTATTTAGTTTAGCACCATGATTTATTCATTTGAACTTTAAAAAATTGGCTACTTTGAACTTTAGATAATAATTTGATTTATATTACATGCATTATTATTTTTAGTGATGAAGATCATGTTAATGATGATACTATTGTTTAGTATTTTTTTCCAAAGATGAGGAATCCCATAAATCCCTATTAGCTCAATTTGAAAATATAATTAAAAAATATGGGATTACGTTGTCGATAAAAAAAAAAAAAACAGGACTTGGTGTTAGAAAAATAGAGTTTTTTGGAATGAGCTTTAAAAGTGATCAGTATCATCCAAGCCATATAACAGAAGAATTACTCAAATTTTCAGATAAAAATCTCACCACAAAGCAAATTTAACAATTTTTAAGAATTATCAATTATCTCCGAAATTTTATCCATAAAATAAAATTTTGTAAAAATGCCTAAGAGCCTGTGGGTCAGCCAAAGTTCATCTATAATATAAGGTCCAGGCTTTGTAAATGGCTCTTTTCGGAAGGTCGAGCTGCCCCGTTTCTCAATTATACTCATCTAATCCTTTCAAGAATAGCATACTGGGGAAAAAAAAACATTTTTAGGACATTAATATGAATGATAATGGTTTTTATTAACGATAAATTTATTAGCCCAAAAAATAGGAAAAATTGAGGAAATGTTTTTTACAAAAAATTTTATTTGTGAGAAGGATTTAGTAAATTTTTGTATACAGAAAATATCAATATTTTGTAAAATCTGTATATATAGACAAATAGTTTGATTTAGAGTGCAACTGAAACACTACTTCTCGTTCTAATTATAAAACCTCTATTATAATTTATAAATGAGATCTTATAATTAAAACCGGAGGTAGTAATAGATATGCGAGTTATATGCATTGAGTTTGTTATCTAATTATTTTTTTTAAAAATTCTATTTTTAAAATTTTTTCTTTTATACAATATAAGTAAAGAATAATAAATTTTTGTTTTTTCGTTAAATACTTAATCAAAAATAGCAAATAAATTATATAGATTTTTGAAATTTTTTAGATAGGATATAAAAATAATACTATAATTATAATAATTAAAAAATTGAAAACAAATAAAAAATAAATGCAGGTTAGCCAGCCAATTAGCCGTGGGTCGTGGGTTTGGTGGTGCAATTGAAAAGTGTCATTTCCAAGCCAACCCTAACTTGCTATTTTTTCTGAGTTAGACTTCATCCCATATTACCAGTTTTCTTAATTTTATTAGATAAAACTTTGAATGGCTGAAATTTATTATTTTATAAAATAATCATTAAAATGCATAATCACAATGAAAATTGGATAATATTTAGAGAAAATTACAAATAAAGAGTCTCGAATATGTAAAATTGCTATCAATATGGAAAATAGAAAGTAAGGACCTGGTCCTATTTTTGCAAATATGAAATCATGGTGAAATGTCTGAAATGCCCGTCAACCAAATGACAAGTTGACTATGAGAAATGAAAAGTTCATTATAACGAATAATAATTTTAGTAGACCAAATTACAACTTGGCTGAGAGTATGCCAAATGATGAGTTGACTTTGAGAAATGACAAGTTCACTTTAGTAAATGACAATTTCAATAGACCAAATTACAATTTGGCTGAGGGGCATTTCAGACATTTCACTCACATTTCATATTTGCAAAAATAGAATCGGGTCCTTATTTGCTATTTTCTAAATTCAAAGTCCCAAATCACAATTTTACATATTGGGGGTCTTTATTTGTAATTTTTTCTAATATTTACATCA